AAATCTAAGTCATATATTGAACAACACAATGTGTTTGTTCATACAGTGATACTTTTAGAACTAAAATCAATGTAATTGTATGATAAAATGGGATGCGTAAATGACCAACGTACAAAAGCCTCATTTTTCGTGTTTTCCGTATTGCTGCACGTATAAATTGGACGGACTGCGCATAAATCTGGTAAATACGTTACGGATACGGATACGTTGAGCTAAAAAACGTTGTGCGAAACCTCTCTAATGAGCCTACGGTGACTTTACGTTAGTTGCCTTTATTTCCGATATAGTTTGTTGTCTATAAATAAGCCTAATATTTTTTACACGATTGCCGTGGCACGCATACGTATATTAATGTTGTCTGTAAGAGGAATATAATGACTAGATGCTATAAGATATAAAAATCAAATTGTATACACTATTTTGACCATACATTCAAGGCTGTCTTCGTACTTTCGGTGTTTTTGATAAACTAGTAATAGACTTCTAAAATAGTTTTCCGTTCAAGCGCAGTGCTAAAACATGCGATTTGAGCTTTTCAGATCCAAATATAGTATTGTTGAAACTGCCTCGTTTAAACACTTTCATTGGATTCCCAAATTCAACGTGATCCACGACTATAGCTTTGAAATTGCCAGCTTTGGAAATAAGTGGCCAAAAATACGATGATTTCCAACACGGTACAATCAATGTGCCCATTGCTCTACATGCTATTAAATGCTTTATCGTCCTTCCTATATCTTGTATTGGAGGTACCAACCAGTTATTTTCTTTTTCCCAATTAAAACTAAAAGCATCGACTGCCTCCGCGTTTGGTTGTGCGAATTTTGAATTGAACCTCTCTAAGTTTGATATTCTATGCTAGCAAAACGATCGACTGTATGAGGTCCGTATCTACTATTCAATAATTTGAAAATATGTGGCTGTATTTCCCAGTCATCTTGATCCAACATTTTGCTCATTAAATCAGCTTCTTGATTTTAATTTCTAGGTACCCATTGAAAGACCATGTCAATCTTTGATTTGATACATTCTTGGAAAATGCTCAATGCTAAAGTTTGCAATTCTTTGACCATGCTACCCTTGCTAGTTATGCTACAAACATTTTTGTTATCTGTTGACCAGTTTACCGACTTGCCCTCAATTTTATGTTTGAAAGATTTCAAAACAATTTCTACTGCTTTCAATTCACGCCAAGTTGAACTTTTGAGCTTTTCTGATTCTGACCATTTTAGATAACAAGGTTGTTGTTGTTTTTTCGATTCTAGTTCTACCACATAGCCCGCGGCAGCAGTGCTTGATGCATCTGAATACAGGAATTTCTCTGGCACGGTGTATGAGATTAACGCGACGCCGTTATACTTTTCGATTTCATTCTATTGTTTTTCAAAAACGCTTTTGTCGGAATTTCTCTAAAAGGAATTTTATAACCGTTTTTTACGATGTCTAAAACGTAACTGTTTGCATTTATATGTGACCAAAACTGTGCATGCCTCTTTAAGGTAACGCTTAAGTTAATCAAAAGTACAAAAAAATGGCAGGCATATTTTTTTGACTAAGTCACAAGATTTTGTTTTCTGTTTTCCTTATATGTGAATGCATTTCCTGACTAAAGAGACATGTCAAAGAAATCTTCACATTTAAACGCATTTTTTTAACGATGAATTGGAGGTGCATGGGTCCCTAAAGCTAGCATGGAGACAGTGAAGTGAGGATAACTTTTTAAAATTTCAAGGAGTAGGATTGTAATAGAGACACATTTGTAAGACTCAAAAATTTCCACAAATCATCTTACCTTACCAAGGAACACTGAAGGAGCATTAAAATCTGTACTTCATGCATTGTTAGAGTATAATAAAGCTCAAACCAAAGTAAATTCTAAATATTTCATTTCCACCATTTTCTTTGCTGGGACTATTTTCTAGTCCAAAATAATCCTCACTCATGTATCCATTGTTTACATTTAAAAAACATCAATTGCGTATCTATTATGCTTATTATACTGTTATATATAAAGTATACTAGTGATAATCCATGCCACTTGGTGAAGTCACAAAAACTTATATGAGGATTACAGGAAGTCTAGAAGTAGTTCCGGCAAGAAAAATGGTGGACATGAAATATTTATCAGAAACTATGGTTTGAGCTTTATCATACTCTAACAATGCAAGAAGAGCACATTTTCATGCTCCCTCAATGTTCCTTGGTAAGGTAAGATGATTTGTGGAAATTTGGGATTCTTGCAAATGTTTGACTGTTGCAAGGCTACTCCTTCAAACTTTCAAAAATTAGCCTCATTTCACGGTCTTTATGTTAGCTTTGGGGACCCATGCACCTCCGATTCATAGTTATAAAAAATGTGTTTAAAAGTGAAGTTTTCTTTGACATGTCTCTTTAGTCAGGAAATGCATTCACATATAAGGAAAACAGAATACAAAATCATGTGACTTAGTCAAAAATATATATGGCTGTCATTTTTTTGTACTTTTGATTAAGTTAACGGTTACCTTAAATTACCCTTTACATGAATTTTGTTTCCCAGGTCTTTCAAGATTTCAGAAGTGTTTGTACTTAACTTTTCTACTGTGCTACGACTAACGACTGGATTCTGTTTGGTTCTTTTTGGTACACGTGTCTGCCCAGTGCCCGATTTCGCCGCACGCCCAGCAACCACCTGGTCTGAACTTGCTTGCTCCACGTGGATAATAGCGTCCTTCGTACCCATATCCGCGATTTGATGCGTAACTGTACCCCTGCTTGAAGTAGCTGTCGTGTTGTTGATCATCTCTGTATTGGCCTCTGCGACTTCTGAAACTAGAAAATCTACGAGAAGAACGGTATCGATTTGACGATCTCATTTTGCGTACTGCATCTCGATCGGCTGTTCTTATCCGTTTATCATCGTCACTGTCATTAGCCAATGGCTTTTTATCGTATTCATCTACAGTTTTCCATCCTGCGTCGGATGTATCAGCTAGTTTTACCAACTTATTTCTATATGTAAGAAAATCAATACCTTTCATAGCCGAGTCGTGAGCCTCTTGCAATAAATCGTTCACTTTGTCGGGGTCAGCTTCGCTCGCGCGCTCTAGTGCGTCTGTAGTAGTCTGGAAGCAGGCTTTCACCTTAAGATTAAACTCGTGTTGAATTTTGTTGCCCTTTTTCTTGAACACGTATGGTGTACTGTTTTCTTCGTCTGTTTTCATCTTTTTTAGCAATTTAGCGTTGTTTTCCTCTGTTTCTTCTCGCAAATGCTTTCGGAATTTCCCAAATTCTTAGGTAAGCAAGGTGCTAACACTTTGTAGTGATGCTGGTTGACTCATGTCTATTGGGTCCATTGTGTAATGTCCACGTGTAATATGGATAAGGTGTTCACTGTATAGATGACGTAGCCAGAATGATTTCGTCTCTCCTAAACACTACACACCTATTCACTCACTCATATTCTACTCGCATTCGAAAATAGCGTTCGATTTTCGTAACGCTTAAAGCTACACTCTGTAGTAATATGTAGAAATAATTTATATTCTAATTCGTTACACTCAAACGAATATAAATAAAACGTCTTCTTTTGAATGGTCATTATTTAATTTGGATGTTATTTCTAGATTTTTCCAAAAAATATTTGCGCAATACACTGATGAACTTCTTCCTCCAAATCGAGATTTGTATTTTATTGACTCGGTCAACTGCACATTACCCCTGCTTCGGACAATTGTGATATTTTTACATCTTGTAGTTTTCAATGTCCACTTTTGAATATTAATAATTTAATTTGGCTGATATTTTTATATTTTTCATAAAAAAATTATTAGCCCAGGAGACTGTTTTCCAAACCGACACTTGTCCTTTGAATAAATTGAAACTGAAAGTGAATAATTCTGCAATTCTATATTCACGGGTAACTAGAGTATCCGCGTATATTGAGTATGGCCGGTTCTTAGGCTACGAATATGACCTGTTTTGGAAAGTCATGAGAGGCACAGCTGCTTAAAGATGGAAAATAAAGGTTAACTTCTATATTATCCTTTTTGAAATTGTGTTTGTTGAATATAGTTTATGCTGTATTTATAATAGTAATGTAACAAAAAATGTTAAACATGAGCTATTTTAGCAATGTAACTGTTCATAATGGAATATCAATCAGAAAGTACAGATTTCTCGCCTTAGAGCCAAATCATTAATATCACAGTAGAAAAAAACAAATCCCAAACCTTTTTATGGCTAACCTGAACAAGATCTCCAAATCTCAGTTTATATGATCCCCCGTAGAGTGAGCAAGAGAAGGATTTATCTTTTCCCAGAGGATACGCTTGTGAAATGTCATGGAAACGAGTGTAACACGGCCCACTGATTGTTTCATAATCGTATTCTCCAATAATGGGGCACCAGTGACATTCGTATTCTCAAAAATTCAAAGATGTATCATATTTGGACAGAGCAGGCTAAATTATTTAAATTATTCATGACTAATCCGTAGATCTAGCTATATATTATACATAAGATGTGTCATCCTCTTCGGAGTTGCGTTGTGTTACACAAAAACTGATCAAAGATGCTGGAAACTAGGATTTTACGGCTTCAATCTAATATTAATACGTTTTCTTTTGATTAAGGCCCCTTGTGATATGCCTGGCATTATAAGTATACCAAGTATCATTCATTGACCAAGTAGGATAAAAAGAAAACGTTCGAAAGTGTTCATAAAAAGCAAGTTCTCACCTCGTCTGTTTATAGGAACAGAAATCGGTCACACTCGTAAGCTTAGAACCGGTCATACTCAATATACGCGGATACTCTAGTATCCCGTGATATTGCCGAAACGTTTATGACCTGGATATGGGGACCATGCTCGAAACAAATACAAGAATTGATTGAGTTAAGAAATACTAACAACATAGGCGTTATCCCAATACCCATAGAAATGTGGTAAAGGTATTAATAGGGTGTATTATAACACACTTCATCAATTATTAACATAATGGTGTACATTCACCTCGTTGAACAAGGGGTCCGTTTTTTTTGAAAAAACAGAAGTTTTTTATTGTGATGTTGACAATCTATATTTGCCTTGTGAATTAGGTAAAGATTAAAAGGTGGATTGGATGTAGTGGATTTCATGTAAAGGTTGGATTGGATCGTAAATCTTCAAAAATATGGAATTTCCACAGTTTAAAGCTCGGATTAAATTCACAAAACTAGCTCTGCAAATGATCTGATAGTAATGATACTATAAGCATAATAGGTCACTAGACTGCCTGGGGTCCCTCAACACAGTTCCTGATAAACACTGCACTCAACTTCAAAATATCAATGTTTTGCTCTTTCTTAAGTGTTTCGTGGCCATAAAGAATAAAGTTTAGTTTTTCCTGCCTGTTCTTACATGAATTTCTGTATCCAATATTTAGATCACAGAGTTGTTGTTCAAAAGTAATAAAATAACTCTGTCGAATGGGACAGGAGAAAAACACATGAATTGTGGTTTCATTTGTGTGGCCACAAGCACAATCTGGCGAAAGAATATTTACAAAGTTATGTGCATGTAAATGAGCTTTAAATATAAAATCCACTCTTATTCGGTTTAAATAGATTTCAAGTGATCTACTGACATTGATATCAGATGCCAAAGTTATGTTTGTGCTCATCAAACTCTTTGTCAGTGCCCTCTTAAAGGAATCTATGTCAATGCACTCTCTTAAAGTTGGCTCAAGTGAGTTCCACTCTCCTAAACAAGAAAAAACACATGATCTATTTTGGATTGATGATCTTTTCGCGGGGATGTGATATGGTAAGGTTAATCTTAGATCTCTTATAGGTGCTCTTTTAAACTTTACAAAAATAGAGCTAACATAATTCGGAGCATTCCCCTTATAAACTTTAAAAACTAGGAACATCCTATGTAATTTCCTACGGATTTCGAGTGATGGCCAATTTAAAGTATGGAGTGCTTTGATGGTGGATGATCCGTGGATGACACCTGAGCAAATCACAGCAGCTTTATAATATAATTTATCCAGGCATTTTAGAGTCAATGAGTTTGCACAGCCATAGAGTATATCATAGAAGTCAAAATGTGGCAAAATGTAAGAATTAAACATGAGTTGAAGATGTTTTCCACTGAGTTTTTTTGATAAACTTTTCAAGTGGTTAAGTAGCTTGTCAATTTTGTTTGAGGCCTGAATAATATGCGGTTCAAACGACAAATTTTGGTCAAAAGTAAAGCCAAGGTGCTTATGTTCATTGACTTTAGGAATTATATCACCACCAAGTTACATTGGTGGAGTTTGTAAATCTGATTTTCTTTGGTCAAAAAAAGTTAGTTCTGCACTTTTGCTGGCCTTAAATTGCAATCTCCATTTTTGTGACCACTCATAAATATTATTAAGGTCAGTCTGCAATAGAGCCATCTTATTATTTAGATCATGCTCTTTGAAGGATTGATAAATAGAAGTGTCGTCAGCAAATAAGTAACATTTTGAGCTAATATTGTCAGTAATATCATTTATATACAAAAGGAACAGTAAAGGGCCTAAAATAGACCCTTGAGACACTCCTGAATTTATATAGTTCTCATCGGACCATTTAGATTCTTGGCCATCGATCACAACTCTTACCCTACGATTTTCCAGGTAAGATTTAATTAGGAAACAGATATTTTCCCCAAAACCATAACTTGCAAGCTTACTTAATAAATGAATGTGCGACATTGAATCAAACGCAGCTGAAATATCTAGGAAAATACTTTTAACATTGTTACCATTATCTAAGCAATCTGTGATATAGTCAATTATGGTTAAAAGCTGGAGCTGGGTTCCCTGACCAGGGATAAATCCACTTTGTAAGTTGTAAAGAAGGTTCTGATCCTGAAGAAATTGAAATAATTGATTAAAAATAATTCTTTCCGTAACCTTTGAAATACAGCTTAGTAGTGTGACCGGTCTGTAATTTGAGGGAGTATTCTTATCGTTCTTTTTGTGGATTGGTGTGATATTACCAAGTTTCCAACATTCGGGGAACTGGTTGGTCAAAAATATTTTATTGATTAATTTAGACAAAGGAAATGCGAGAGCAGGTGCTGAAAGTTTAAGCATCATATTACTGATCTGATCAGGCCCAGATGCTTTATTAATATTTAGAGACATCAAAGCTATATAAACCTCATCTCTATTTATACTCTATTATGAAATTATCCATTATTTTCTTAGATTCAGAATCCAATCCACCTTTACATGAATCCATTCCACTCGATCCAATCGACCTTTTAATCCTCACCTATGAATTATGAATCGACCATGGAACCCCATGGGAAACTTTGACAACAAATTGTTAATCTGTCAATTGATTTGAGCTTATTAGACTCCAGATGTAAATCTTCTTCTTCTACACACGTTTTCTCAATAACTAGAAGACATTGAGCCAAGACCTGTATGTGCTCATTTAAGGTCCTATATTCAGCTTATTCTGAATGACTCGGCTTATCATTGGTGACTCAGCTTATTCTGGATGACATGGCTTATTGTGGATGATTTGGCTTAAAAATGCTAAATCTGGAGTCTGAAATTGAACTTGTTCAATTTCCAAAGTCTAGTTAATATTCTGTTTATGGTTTTACAGATTATTGTTTGCTGTGGTGTTTATAGTACTTGTATTTTTAGTTATTAATAGCCTCGTATTAAGTCATGATGGGCCCACCACACTTCAAAGTCTGAACTTTGTTTTTTTAATGCAAGCTAGACTGTCTCAGTCGTAAAAATGTCGATGAAATAATCGTTACATTGTGATTGTCCATTTGAGTGTCTTCAATAACTCGTAAATGCTATTTCTTTAAATAATTGAGAATGTAACGTGTAGACGGGGTCACGTTGGGGGATTCGACATCTCAATATAGTTGAAAGTATTTCCATATTTCAAGATTTAAGATGCAAAAAGCCCAAATCCATTAGAACTGAAAAGGGAAAATCCAGACAGTTGACCAACCCAAAGTACTTAAATATACTGATGATACACTCTAGTATACCTTGGGAATACATGGTGAGTTCATTTAAGAGATCATTTGAGAGAATTATGAATAATTCGTAAAAAGTGAAATATATATCGCAAACTACCTGAATTGCGTATAGATATCCTATATTCTTCCGGCCATAGTTTGAATATGGTATATGTTCTAGGACCCTGTAGCCAAGAGATCTCTGTGTTGTTACACTTAGGAATAGAGCCCCATCTAAACTGAAACAAAAGATGTGACAGTTAGTTATAATAACATTTAAAATAACTTTGTCATGCCCAACTTCTTTCGCCCCTTCCTTCCTCCCTTCCTTTCTAATACTTTCTTCCTTTTTCCTTCCCCACTAATTATAACTTCTATCTTACTCACTCCCTTCCTTCGTTCCTTCCGACGTACTTTCTTATACCTTCTTCCTTTTCCTTTTTTCTTACTTATTTCCTTCCTACTTATTCCCTCACCTCCTTCTTTTCCCCGGTCCTTCCTTCTGTCCTTCTTGTTTACTACTATTACTTCCACTATCACTTCCTCGATTACTTCCTCTATTCCTTCCTTACTTGCTTGCTTAATTACTTCTGTGTGCTTACTTACTTCCTTTTTCTGCTTGCTTTCTTGCTCGAACGGAAGGTCGGACGAACGTACGATCATACAAATGGATGGTCAGACGAATGCACGCATGCCCTAACGTTCGCACGGGAGATAGCCCGAACGAACGGTGGGACGAACAAACATACGAACGAACGAATGGACGGTCAGATGAACACTGCCACGAACGGACGATTTGACACACGTACGAACGGATGATCGGACGAATGCACGCACGACGAACGGACGGTCGGACGAACGCACGACCATACGAATAGACGGTCGGATGAATGCACGCATGCGCTAACGTTCGGACGGACGAATGCCCACCCGAACGAACGAACGGACAGTCGGACGAATGCACGCATGAACGAACGAATTTATTTGCGATGTTGCCATAGAATGATATGTTATGTGTTTGGCACATTCGTGTACGTTCATATAATGAAGGTCAATATCTTTATGGAATAACTGTAAAACTTTCCTTGTGATCGAAGCGGGTAGTCGTGAAATCTGCTCGTGTTTTCAGTGGGGTCTCTTCATGTTTTCAGCGGGGCCTCCTAATGAGAACTTAAATGATCAATGGTAAATAAATGATAAACTTACACCCTGAAATAGGTATTCCAGCAAGCCATTAAAATAAATATCACCCTCTTCAATCTATTTTCATCTAGGTTTTTATGATTATTTCACATTTTTCTTGAATCTGTGTAACCAGGTCGGTGAATTTTCTTCATTTTTCCTCAAACATTTTATCTTACCATTAAAGTGTGCGCCTGACCCGGCTACGTATAGCACAGAGTTTATACTGGCGGATTAGACTAGTTCATTTTTTATATGTGTGTGAAAGCTTTCTCTTATTTGCGTTTTTTCGTTTAGTACGGTTTTGTTATAATTGCCGAGGTCATATAACCGGGATAAAAAAAATGATTATCGTTGACTGCCCACACACAAAACATACGTTGAGTGAACAGTCTTATTACAAACAACAGGCTTTAGAATACAAAGCGTAGTGTGATAATAAGGCTTCCTGGTCAACTCAACCCCAAGTCAACTCAACCCAAGTCAACTCAACCCTTGGTCAAGTCGACCCCAAGTCAAGTCGACCCTTAGTCAAGTCGACCCCAAGTCATCTCGACCCTTAGTCAACTCGACCCCAAGTCATCTCAACCCTTGGTCAACTCAACCCTTAGTCAAGTCAAGATTTTACTTGTTTTAAGTAGATTAAAATACAATATAATATATCATTAAATAGTACTTCTTTGAATATTTTGAAAGTATATGATTTATTAAAGGAATAATAGAAAATTATGGCAAAGATAAACTTTCCTATTTGAATCCTATTTGATTAATGCATTTTCTTCGCTAATTCAAAAAAGATATTGCATTGAGAAAATAAATCTGACATATGATTAAGATAATGAGAAACAGAAATCCCATTGTTTGTACAGTCTTGTTTTAAAATCTAACTTTAAAAATAAACATTTCTGTCACCTATAGATCATAAGGAAGATTTGAACTGGATCATAAAATCCCAATCTGATTGTTTATGATACCTGACATGAGTAAGATGATGGAAAATAGAAAAACATAAATCCTATTGTTTGTGCAGTTTGATTTGAAATCTAACTTCAAACAAAAAAAAACATTTCTGTCACCTATAGATCAAAACAAAGATTTGAACTGGATCATAAAATCCCAATCTGATTGTTTATGACACCTGGTGATGACATATGAGTAAGATAATGGAAAATAGAAAAACATACATGTAAATCCCATTGTTTGTTCAGTCTTGTTTTAAAATCTTACTTAAAAAAAATAAACATTTCTATCACCTATAGATCAGAAGGAAGATTTGAACTATATCATATTGTTTATTGTTATAAAATCCAAATCTTGTTATTTATGACACCTGACATGGGTACGATAATGGAAATTGTAAAATCATGAATCCCATTGTTTGTTCAGTCTTGTTTTAAAACCTAGCTTCAAAAAATAAACATTTCTATCGCCTATAGATCAGAAGGAAGATTTGAACTATATCATATTGTTTATTATTATTATCAAAATATAAAATCATTGAATACAAAGTAATGGATGGATGTTGGCACAATGCACATGTTGCAAAAGTTACCTGTTGTCGAAAATACTGTTGCAACAATTTCGGTATAACAGAAAAGTGTATTGAATAATTCTATTTACAATTATAATTTTTTATTTCAGAGAGATAAAACAAGCTCAAATATGAAAGGGTGAAATATATGTATAGCATCGTGAATAGCCCTATTAAGATTAATCAAACATTATTTTGGTAAATAAATGTCATATTTATAAAAATTATAACTAGTTGATAATTTTATTTTGGAAAATTAGCATTTTAGACCCTCATCCTTTCAAAATTCATTTCAATATCATACCATGAAATGTACATCTATTTGTTTTTACGGTGGGGTCGAGTTGACTAAGGGTTGAGATGACCAAGGGTTGAGATGACTTGGGGTCGAGTTGACTAAGGGCCGAGATGACTTGGGGTTGACTTGACTAAGGGTCGACTTGACTTGGGGTCGACTTGACTAAGGGTTGAGTTGTCTTGGGTTGAGTTGACTTGGGGTTGAGTTGACCAGTTACCGATAATAAGCTGCACACTACCACTGCTGCATGTACATATTACTAATTTACTAGGGCTCCCAAAGAGTGGATAGGGAGGTTGTGTTTGTCACTTTTAAATTTTACATTTCAAAATTGTCATTTTACATGTCATAATTTGTTGGTTTCATTCGTTTAGCCAATCAAAACATTGTAAAACAATAAATTGTCTGTTACGTACAATCAATTTTGTTCAGTTTTGATTAGTTGTCAGAATAAAGTTACGTTCATCTGAATCCATGTATCAAAACAAAAATCCTATTTTCACTTCAAAATACTTCAGTGAGATGAAGGCTCGGAATTGTCACATGCAATAACTTATTGTCGTATTCGTTATTTTATCTTCTCGATAGTAGCATTTAGTCGCACATTTGATGCCAGGTCACCTTGTCGCGTACCTCTTGGGGAACCCCACATTTATGTGTGTACTCATGGAAGTAAATTCCCCGGTGTAGCCGAGAGCCACAAACTTTTCAACAGGTTCGAAATGACCAATTTCTCTCATATATACTCTAAATATTTTATTATTTAGCACCTACAAAGTATTGCTAATAACCATATGTAATTTCAATAAGGAAACTTATCTGGCTACATATAAATTCAATATCAACACTAGCTGTTCTCTCAACACGTCCTGGCTTACCTTATGGTGACAAACCCTGGATTTTCGCTATTTATAGTTTATCAACACCTGGACGCATGCGCATTTTATACTTTATCGGGCACTTTAATCATTATATCTGTGAATTTCAAGAAAATCGCGCCACTACGTTTGAAAATAATTCTTTAATTAATCTAAACAAGTCGACTTATACGGAATGGTCATCCAGAGAAGGTGTAACGGACGAAGAGAAAGGGAAATAAATAAACCCAATAGAAATTAATTTAACGATGTTAGTACTTACTGCCAATCTTTTGGAGTCTTTGTGTCGGCAACAACGAGTAGCTGCCATTCTGACAATGTTGCCAAACTTTTGATATCCTGTGTAGGGGATGCTATACTCGTAACGACTATCCATTTATTTGTGTTTTTAATGGGACCTACATCATGAATTCCTTTTACTCCGTGCACTTCTCTCCGAGATTCTTCCTCGATATCATATCCCTTATTGGCCTCAGACTTTTCCAAACTGCCCTCGGGGTGAAACGCTTCCTTAGCAACAAATGCTTTCTTGACAGCATTAACTCCTTCCTTGAAATCATGATTCCGTATGCCGTCCTTAATCATCTGATGATTCTGTTGATGATAAAAACAATAAAGAATTTTAATGATACTAACAATAGTTAGACCAACTAAAATCCTCGGCTTGTATTTTCCTCTCATTTGATTATTGCTACTGTTTAGCGTCTGATCAACAAGAATTGATTGTTAATTCATGGATAGTAGAAAGCGTAATAACACGCGTATATTGTTAATGCGAAAACGAATTGTGATTGGGTGAGGACTGGTTCTCCAAAAAGGAGTATTGTGTTGTTAATATTTCAAATTGTTATTGAGTTGTAAAGATAACCAATTTATTATAAAATATTCACTATTGAACAGAGTTCAATTCAAGACTCCAGATTGAAGCAGAGGTAGGTAGTAGGTAGTCGAGTAAGTAGCTGAGTAAGTACCTGAATAGGTAACTGAGTAAGTGGCTGAGTTTACCCAGGACATCCATCATATTGATTTTCGAAATTGCAAAACGTCATTAAATCTAAACCGAAAGGTGGATTTCAATTCTGATTTCAGATTTGGAATCCTGAAAAAATTACCAATATTTTGAAAGCTCAGATGTTGAATTTGGAGAAAGTTTTTGTTGACCTACTTTCTGGACACCATATCTCAAAACTGGGTCAAAATGCCTTCTGACGTGACGGCAAAAGGCTAACACCATTAGCGTACTCTTTGCTATCTATATGCTAATTAAATTAAAGAAAACGTTGAAATGTAGTGTCAGGATTGCAAAAATAAGGGAAAACATGGATTTGACCTAGATATTGACTTTGGCAACTTAGTGTCAAAATTTTGAATTAAGTTAGCGTAAGAAGCCCTTAAGCTTCTTCTCTTGTATTCAATCAGAAACATTTTTTCACCATTATTTGGAGTACACAAATGCGACAGAAAATAATACAAAATGATTTTAAATATATGATTTAGGTTTCTAGCTATAAGTTTGAGATTATTTTTCAAATGATGATTTCCCGATCCTATTTTATTATTATTTTATACCATTGGATTACTATATTGGAAATTCCTCAAAGAGAATTTTTTGGGGATTAAGGAAGGGATACCATTTACACAATTTGAGAAAGTATTGGCATGCATGAAACCTATTTAAAACAGCATTAATATTATTCAAAAGCGATCGTAATAATGATTCTCAGTCCTCTGAAGTTTGAAAAATAACAATACCTGAGTGTTAATCCATAGATAATCCTTGAAAATGAGAAATATTTTTCAGTATTATATGGTGCAATCTTATAGTCAATAAAATGTTTTAAAGTGTATCGATTTTTTTTAGATGAAAAACACAAGCGAAATGCATGAAAAAGCTCCCCAGATTCATTCTATAAACAACTCGCGGCCCTTTGAACTCGCCGCTAACGCAGCACAGTCATTTTCTGCAATATGGCAATTAGTCGACAGGATTGATGATATTGTATCGCAACGTGGACCAGGTACCAACTTTCTCTGAAATGGAAAGCACAAAGTAGTTATGCTTTTCTACTCTAGGTTTTTTGTTGATTTAATCATGCATCTAACGCATTTTCAGAAAGATAAGATCAAGCACTGGGAATCTTTTGTACTGTTCCTGTACCGAACGAAACGAAGAAGAATTGGGAGCACGTCTACAATTACTATAAATGTCAAGGGAAATAGAAACCGATAGGAAATTCACATCACCAAAAATGCGCGCCCAAGTCCCGTGAAAAATAGCAGATAGAATATGCTTTGATCGTGTACACAATGGAACATCAGCGTCATTGCTGTCACCTCGTTTCCAGTTTTGTCAATTATGTATGATGTCTGGACCCGCGTTGCCATAGTGTCTGCACTGCGTTTCCAAAATATGCTTTACAGGAAGCAAACAGTGATCACACTTTGAAGGTAGATAGATTGTCTTGATGTATACATGATTTTATAAACATCTGCCCAGTGACAAAGCCAGAAACAAAGAATTGAAGCTAGAAAGATTCAATGATCGTCAAATTTCCACCCATGTGTGTTCCCAGAATATATTTCTCCTATTGACTAAATTTCAAGAAGCTTCACACAGACATACCTTGTAAGGTTCTCCACCGAATGCTATATGCTATATAATAACTATAGGATATTCAAACCGGTGTAAGTAGCTTATAAATAAACTTACCGCCATTTCAAAGGTTTCTAAAGCAGTCATTTTGTGTCTATACCGTGTTGCAGCCTCGTTTTGAACAGCTACGCGTGGCTGCGCCGCGTTACCTATTTCCACCCTGTTATTGTAGTATCATACTTAAAGATTTCTCTAAGTAATGACGAATTCCTGCTCTAGGCGGCCATTTTGAATTTTCTGAAATCAGAAAACAATGCCATAATTGTGATCTACTCTTTAATTCCTTCAATTTGAGTATAATATAGCCAGACTTTTAAGAGATCGGAAAATAATTGCGCAATCCCACATTAGGCGGCCATTTTGAATTCTACGAGTCCCGAATCAGAAAAACGATACAATATTTGTAATCTACTCTAAATTGCCTTTCATTTGAGTATGATAAAGCTATACTTTAAAAACATCTCAAAATAAACGCAAATTCCTGTTTTCACAACCCCCCATTCAAGGGGTCAAGGTAAAAAACACCAAACTTCTGCTCTAATGCTTCTGCGTTTTGATAAGTTTTGTGCCTTGCCTTTGTCGACTATCCATTCACTGGTATTTGAGTTATCAAAGATTACGTTTTTACGAAAAATGGCCGCCATTTTTATATTTAGCAGCCATTTTGAAAATCTCTTCTTCAGCTTAGCTCCTTTGTCCCTTAGGATCACTGGATCAGCATATAAAATATGAACCAAATCCGTCAACTAAGATTTGAGATATCAAAGATTACATTTTTTACGAAAAATGGCAGCCATTTTGAATTGAGCGGCCATATTGAAAATTCCTTCTCTTGTCGACAATCTTCATAAAGTACGTCACTCATAATACACGAGAACCTAACTTCGTGTGTAATTTATCAATTCATTGCTAACAAAAGTTACAAATAAGTAATAAATTTCATTTCATCCATATTTTGTTTTTAAGTAGAGTTGTCCCAGAGAACCTGATGATTCTTGAAATCTGTGATATATCAATTTTTTTGTTTTCCTTCAAACTTCCACAGTTTGTTGTTGGTTGATTATGTATTACACCTGAGAAACAGGAACTCCAGTGCATTACCAATAAAAAAGTTAGGGGACATTAATGTGTTGCCCAAAAGTGGGCGTGGCACTTCACCTGAAGAGCTCATTCTGCAGTTATTTTTTAGGTTTTCCATACATCATTGCCTTTGATATTACTCTACACTCTGACGATGTTTGGTCAGATCAGCTTACTATTTGAAATAATTAAGATTAAGGAGTATCATTTCAACATTTAAATATTTGCAATCATTGTATCTAATAGTAATGGTTGCCATGGCAACATGATCAATTTAATAGACTTCCTAACAGGCCTAAAAGTGAGGTTTGTTTGAACTGTCCTGGGGTCCCAAGTAGACCTCAAATTAGGCCATAAACATTTGAAACTAAATAATGGAGATATGGTTATATGATATATCAAATAAAATAGGTGGCATATTATGTCCTTGAGTGCACTTGATACTTCTAAACATGGGTACCTCAGTATAGTTTTTGCAGAAAATACAAGAAATTGTCTGACACTAATAAAGCTATTTGATATGGTGCAAGGAAGGTTTTATTGTAAAAATACATTGCAAGTGTTACTTTTGCATCTTATGATAGCTTTGATGTCAAATAATTGTTGAAGTGTCAACTATTTACTGATCCAAACTGATGTCAAAGATGCTTGAGTGAAAGGTCTTTGGTTTGTTTACAAGACGTGGATTGACCAATCAAAATGCAGCATTTTGCGTAATCCAGCAGAGGTCCTTGGAATCATGAAACAATTTGATTCAAATTGTCTATTCACAGGTAATTTAAACAATATGTATGTTGTTATATGATAAATTAAATGATTATTCCATACATCTGATATTTAAAGAACAATAATAAAGCTATATTTAAAGACTTCCCAAACAAAACGATGCTGAAATTGACATAATAGATTGAGATAATTTCTATCATCTGCTTTCCATTTTTTTATTCACATTTCCACATTTATAGTTTTTCTATAGGCCTATATCTATCATCTATAATTCTGGAAAGAAGGATAGCCCTGTATAATCCAGATCTTTTTTATGTATTATTGTCATGCTAAGGGGGGGGGGGCGTTGTTTAATTGCTCACTGGACATGGGTTAGTCGTGGTGAAGAAATTGTTGTTTCCACAATCAGCACAGTCAGAGAGAATGTTCTGGCGAAAGGAGATTGGGATATTTTTCTTCAGTATCAGACAATTTTTGTTTTATTGAAACTTTGATTGATGATTTGAAAATGTTCCTGGTTTTGTCAAAGCCCTACTAAATATAAACTGTCTTATCAGGGTGCACTTTGATGATCTTTCATTCTTGCACAAAAGATGCATTAGTGTACCTAGACTATTAATTGAGGGTTGAAAATTCTTCAGAATGTTTGGATAACTAGAATATTCAGTGGTTTACTAAATTCAAAATTGCAAAAAAATTCCAAAGTGCACTCTGGCCTTAACTGCTTCAAAGGGGCTTTGTATAAAAAACCTCCTACCTCATACCCACCTACCCACATACGTTGGACATGATACAGTCTTTGAAGGGTTCAATTTTAAATATCTTAGTTTATTAAATCTTAGTTTATGATGAATTATAGATGCATTTGTAACGACCCTTGATAGCAAGTTACTACTACAGCCTAGCTGGGTTCGATTCCCACTCGGGACATCAAATTTAGCACACTTTCTTTCAATTTCTTTATCTGGCTTGTTGGACCTATGCTCGCGGTCATTATTTATTTATTCCCCTGGGTCTCCCTAGGGTCATAACACATTACAATGCACCCATATGCCTTTATTTATGGATCTGTCACCTCTAGTCATAAAATAAACCCGGAATTGTAGAAATGTTAATTAAAGCTATTTTGTGATTTAAAAGTCTTTAAAATTGAACCCTTCAATGACTGTGTCATGTCCCACGCAGGTGGGTAGGTGGGTATGAGGTAGGAGGTTTTTTATACAAAGCCCTTCAAAGGCAAGCAGTTGAACCTGAAAAATAAGAAATCTAAAGATTGTGCAATAATATAGAGAAAAATATATTCATATTGCACATGAATGACATTTGTATATCTTGGATTGCTTGTGAATTGGTTTATAAAGTATGAAACCTCTTATATTTTGATGCTTCTCTGCCATGTTAATTCTGAAAAAATAACATAGATCTCGCAAAGAGACCTCAAATTACAAGAGGGCACAGGCTTATTGCACTAAACACTAAATAATCTAAAATATACAAATGTCAATCATGTGTAATATGAATGTATTTTTCTATATACTGTATGATGGCACAATAGATTTCTTATTATTCAGGTTCAGCTGCTTGCCTTCGAAGCAGTTTAACAGACTGTAGATGTCTAAGATTGATAGGCCTGTGAACATTTATATAACTAAAATTTCTGAAAGTATATGTACATGTACTCTAATGGCGTACCCACATGTAAGCCAAGTACGCAGAGGCGTACTCTCAAATTGAAGTTAAGAAAATTTCCCAGATCATTTGTGATGTAAAATAATTATTTTACAAAAATGTGAAAGATCAGGCCAAAAATAAAATCACCCCTTGAAAGCTAGATGAAAAACAGAAATCATCCCCAAATCATCTGATCACTTGGGGGCCGGGGGGGGGGGTCTACCAGGAAAATTTGCAGGAGTACACGGAAAAATCTGACTGGCGTTAGGCATACACTGGAAAAATGGTCAAGCTATGCTGTTTTTGAGATCACATTGGCTAAATTTTTATATTTCAAGTGCACAAGTACTCCATGCATCGTAATCTTAGCATTTTTCTGAAATGTGTCATTTAAAGAGATATTGATATCCTGTCCCATTCACTACATGGATTTTGTTTCTCTGCTTAACTCTGAAGATATTTTCTGACCTAAACTATTGATAGTTTACCTCAAAATAAATGCTCATGTCTGTTATCTTGAAAAGCTTATGCCCATGGCAATATGAAAGTGAGATGACATTGTGTGAAAATCTAGTGTCCTCACCTTTGCTTAAAATGTTATGTTTATACATATTTTGTATTATAGGGCTACTGTTCATCCAGAAGAAATACATGAGTTTGTATTGATATATTTCCATTGGAGTCTACTATGGCATGTGGTTTTGCCAGTAATCCTGGTCAATGTAGGGGTGACACAGTGCAGATCTCTTTGAGTGTGAAACCTGTATGGGCTCATCTAAGGTATTTTTGTACTTTTGTTTTTATTTTTCACCTGTACACCTGTTTTTGTTAATTCATTTTACCAAATTGTAATTTGTCAAATTATAATTATGTATTCACACTGTATTTTGGCACACTTCTGTCAGGTCTTTTATCTTTTCTATTGTATCTTTACAACTGTTTCACACATTTTAATTCAACGAGATAGATCTCTTAGTTCTGCACTATGTTTTGAAACTTAAATCTACAGATTCATGAATATCATGTTTGTTGGGACTTGATACCCTGTGTAGTTGCCGATTTCTAGTTTAGAATAATGATAACACTGGTATGTTACATGTATAATTTCAGCTCTGAACATATGCTCATCTACTAGATGACAAGCAAGATTGTGCGGTGGTCAGTGCTCTCATTGAGCATGCTCTTCAAACAGTGTCGATAGATCTACCATTCATCAGAACAATTTCTGGATGTAGTGATAATGCTGGATGCTACCATTCAGGACAGTTGTGGTTGGTTCTGCCAGGAATATCACTTAGAACAGGTACCAAGATTTTGCTTGCTTTCCTGGCATATTGCTATTGGTAGATATTTTTGAGCTATGAATTATTAGGACTTTTTAGTCAAGTTTATTTTCATTGGACAATTCTATTACTGTACTTCTACTTAATTTGGCAACACCTAATTCCCCAGTAATTTTATTATCATGTAAATAAGTACCATTAGTGCATTGTAATATTGCAAGTCAGCCAAATTAAGTAGCCGCCAAAACTGCAAATCTGCCAAAATAAGTAGCACCAAATTAAGGATAAGTGCACACATGTTATTTCGTAAGTTTGGCACTGTCTATGCATGTAGCCAAACTGTTTTATTTCATGTGGACAATTTGTCAATTCTAAAGCAAGTCAATACTGGATACCATGGAAACAAATTAAAGAACTTACATTAACAAAGCTTTTTACTGTCTAATAATGTGTGTTAACAGGTGGTGACATTGTGTTAATGCTTTGTGTATATTTATGACTATTCTTATTTTACAGGAATCGCCATTAATTCTTGAGACTTCAGTGAAGCTCAGGCTGGAAAGTCCTGCTGTGATACCAAAATTGCCCACTTACGAAGAAAAATCAAGGGATATGTGTAACTCATCAGGCTAAAACGTAGTGTCAATTGATGATATGAAAAGTGCCATCGACTCAGGCAAGGGTGTGTCAGGATGTAAGGCATGGTTCAAAATGTTTTGTTAAATTGTGGCAGAGTTATAACATTGGTAGAGGAGACGTGAAGGACATAAGTGAATCAACTCAAACGCCAAAGATAAACATCCTAAGTGACTTTAAATCACCAGAAACTGATAGAAGCCAGGCAAAGGAGCCAAGTGATCCACTTCCAGATATTGTGCATCCTAAGAGATTTAAATCTATTGTAAAGAACCAGGATGCACAAAATCAGTTACAAATCACAAGGCTCTGGAGGAACATATTATGTTGGGGAAGCATATATACCAGTTAGAGAAGGAAACCTTTATACTGTAGATTGGGTTAATTTGGCACTCGCTTTAATTTGGCGAATTTGGCGAAATTGAAAAATTCGCCAATATAAATCTTCGCCAAAATTTAGAATGAGTCCCCGGGAATCATCTAGGGTATTTCGTCCAGTGTATCTAGGTCACTTCCGGTTTATTTTTTTCCCAAAAATATGAAAAATGTCTCTCATAAATTGGCTCAGAACTGGTCAGTCACTCATTAATACTCAGGTAAAAATTAGAAAGGAAAAGGGTGGTATAGTAGCATCGATCGAGGTGCAAAATGTAAAGGATGATCTCACAAAAATGTACAAACGTGGTGAATATCGGCAGTGGTCCTAAAAAGAAAAATGAACTTAGCCAAACATGCCCATTTACATGGTAATTCGCAAAGTGCGTAAGTTAAAATTTTTTTGCTTATCCGCCAAATTAAATAGCCGCCAATATGCCAAAAGTGGCAAAATCGCCAAATTAAGTAGCGCCAAATTAACCCAATCTACAGTAAACAGTGCAAAAAGACTTTGGTAGAACATTGCAATGCAATCACAAACCCATCAGTTACCACCATACACTCTGTCTTGTGTGCTGTAACAACAACAACAAGAACATCCTTTCAAGTCTGAGGAAAAACTCACCCAGACCAAGATTCAGTGAAGAGGTCAAATCATTCCTTTTAGAAAATTTTAATGAAGGTTTAGCTGGCATCAAACACGAGCCTTCTACTGTAAAGACCATGATGAAGAAAAATTAGAAAATGGGAAAAAGAGATTCAGCCTGGGTGAATATTTGTCAACATCTCAAATCAAATCATATTTCTCCAGTCTCTTGAAGACCAAATGTCAAGATGAAAGCAACTTGAATGCTGTTATTGAGAGAATAGCTCTGGAAGCCTTTGAGACACAATTTTCAAACAATTTCCCTCAGACTTGAGCCTTGGGAGCATGTTATTGTTGTTGCACACTCTATATGTAGTCTGTCACGTGTCTTTATGGAGGATGGTGAATGGATTGTCAGCCGTTCCACTTCAGGTTTGTTATGATACTTTTTCCCTATTTGTAGACTTTGAATCTTTGTGAAACTTGTCCGATACGATCAATGTCCAAAGATGGTTTAATTCAACAAATATCATATTCATGCGAGTCCTGGTTAAAGAGATCGCCCACCCATCCTTTGTGAAACTGGCTTAACTAACCCAAATATTATTTTCTGAGACACAAAAGTGTCAATTTCTATTTTACCAGGACACATCTGAATGAGATATTTGGTGAATTAAATCTTCTTTGGACATTGATGGTACGGGACACGTTTCACAGAGATACAAAGTCTAAAAATATGTTAAAAGTATCATGACAAACCTGAAGTGGAAAGACTGGCGATCTATTTGCCATCTTCCATCCGTCACGTGACAGACTATACATAGGGTGTGCAGCACAAATGTCAGAGTGTACGTTGGTATCTGATGGGGTCAGCATTTTTCTGGATGTGATTGTTTAGAAATGCAGAAAAATTTGAAATTACTGATATTTAAAGAATACTGTACTCCCGGTTTATTTCGTGAGTTTTAATTTCGCAAATTTTAGAAAACATGATTTCGCGACTATAAAATTTCGTGAATTTCACTAAGTACACCTAATGCTTTGTCATCTTGGTCCACAACATACTGCACCCTAACCTCTATTACATCATGATTTTTGGGTTTATTTGATCTAATAAGCCAATGTAACAGACATTGCTACTTAGTATCCCATTTATCACCTAAAAACACCTGACAAACATTTTACAAAACACGGAATGCAATGGAGTCCCAGGAAACAAGAAACTTCACAAATCCCCTGGGATTTAATTGACAATTTCACGAAGATTAATTTTTACGAATTTACCACAATCGCGAGAAAGTCAAAACTAAATCGCACGCGAAAAATACTGTTAATAATTGTTGGAAATAGGACATTGGGTTGGCATGATTAATGTGTATTGTTTGTGCCATAGGGCAACATTTTACAAGCTTAAGGGGGTCTAGAGTTATCTACATGTAAGTTGACATTCAGATTGAGGATTCAAAGAATAATGGAAATTTAATAAGTGGGAAATTGTGATTTTCAAATAGTGTCGAAATATGCCAAAATACAGCTTAGATAATTGATGATATAGTTGCTATGCTACTGGGTTGCTATAGTTATCTATTCAATCAATAGACATATGTGTGCTTTAACATTGTACAGTATTGGTAAATCATAACCACATTGATATTTAGAAAGGATTAGTATGAAAAATGATTTTTCCTGTTTAAGAAAAGTAAACAATTAGCCAATGCTGTTTATAGTCAGCTGGTTGCTATGGCAACCAAGAGTGTTTTCAGATATTCCTATTAACTGAAGAACTTTTATACCTTAACATTTATGTATAATTTTATGGAATAACAGAAAAACAAGTCTGCATACTAATACTGTATCTCCTTATTAACATTCATATGTAAATGGCATTCTACCATAATTTCTGGTTAATTTTACTATTTTGCCCGATGATAGGGGTTGCTATGGTTATCTATTCAATCAGTAGACTTATGTGTGCATTAACATTGTACAGTATAAGTAAGTCATATCTTTATCCACATTGATCATTATAAAAGATTTGTATGAAAACTGTTCAGGAAAAGTAAAAAATTAGTTAATGCTGTTCATAGTCAGCTGGTTGCTATGGCAACCAGCAGTGTTGTCAGATATTCCTAATAGCTGGAGAACTTTTATATCTTAAAGTTTTCATATCATTTTATTGATTAAGTTGGAAAGTTCATCAATAAGTTTGAAAATGTAATACAGAAATACAAGTTTTCATACTCATATTTCCCTATTAATATTCATATGTAAATGGCATTCTTCCATAATTTCTGGTAAATTTTACTATTTTTTCTCGTTTTTTGTTCATCTGTGGCAGAAAAACACTCAAGAGTTCCACTTGTTTTCTTTGCTTCTTTTGAAGCCCACCATATACCCATTCTTACAAGCCATAAACTAAATGATGTATAGCTCTACTTGAGATTTTATGAAAGAATGCGTAAATATCATTTTTTGTAAAAATAGACAAAAATCACCAATTTATGAGGTAGGGGTATGTTTGTCATACTAACTTGGAGAAAAAAATACAAGATATATGTCAAATTATTATTCCTTTTTTGTTTCCTTAATATTAAAGGTTTTATAAATAATAAAAAAAGATAAAATTTGCAAAAGCACATGAATTGAAATATAAACAGAGCATGTGAAATAGGGTATGTTTGTAAGATTGGGGTGAAAATAATGCCCAAATCCCTGGAAATCAGGGTAAAATTAAGAAGCTTACCCCTATTTCTAAATGATGGCATAACTTTGCCAAAAAAGGTTCTCAGAATATAATATTTTGGGAAATTGAATATCTTTCTACTATATATAATTTAACATAAAATTAGACAAATCAAAAAATTTCATGCATCACCCATCATCAGGTTCTCTGGGACAACCCTACTTAATAAGATCGGCCATTTAGTTTTCAGTATTTCCTTCACGCGTTCATATTGGTCAGTGAATATGCCGTACACGTCAGTTGAGAATGCCATACTCCCCAAGTGATATGTCAGATTCACCTGACAAACATTTGCATCGTGTTTACCGCATAACATTGCAGAATAATCTAACATATTTTATTTTGTGTTTTTTGGTTTATTATTAACCAAATGTAACCGGGTGATTCGGTAAGGTTAGATCATGGTCCAATGGTTAGATCAATTTGTAAACACTTCCGTGTGCATTTGCCCTTGGCACATGCCAGATGTCTTGAGTTATACGTGTGATAAGCTCAAACAATGTTCTGGTTGGTTATAGCTGATGTACTATATATAAGTACAAATTTTTATATTTCGATTTTGTGATTCATCTCAATAGAATTTGAATTTCGTATAAAAAGCTCCTGAGAATGCTTAATCGAGGTCTTCGTATTTTATGCATCTTATGAAAGGCGGGTTGAAGTTAAGGAGCTGCATTAGTACCAAGTAAGGTTTTATTAAATTTTTATTGTATCACTTTTTCAAATTATAATGACAATTGAAAATGTTTGAAACAAATTATTATCTGTTCAGTACAAAAAAGATATTTTAGTTTTCATGATTTTATAACAAGTACTCTATAAAATCACATATGTGAAGAAAATGAAATATCAAAGTTGATAAACAATTTTTAAAAACACATTTTAGATGTTATTTTAAAGTATATAGATTTCAAACATGATTTCACTTTGACTAAATTATGTATGATAAAAATCAAGGTTATTCCTATTTGCAGCTTGTCTAATGCCGATCGAGCCATTTTTATCCGCCCTGAGAATAAACATTCGCAAGGTTGGGTTAGTTCTAATAAATCAACCTCCATGGAATACCAAACCAAATATCCAACATTATTTTATCAATATTCCCCAGTTATATTTTGCCCATACACAGCACATACATTATTCTAGGTACCTGCCCTTCGCATTCGTTTGACATAACTTTGTTTGCTTTGTTTACTTTACAACTAACTTCTCTACTCAGGGTATTAGAGACTAAAATGGATATACTTAATAAATTGTGTGTTATAAATGATGGCTTCGACGAAACTCTAATTTAATTAATGAAATGAATGAATAAAAAAATAAATAAAAAAATAAAAAAATTGTGGCTTCACAGATTGGACCTTTCCTCTTTTGTCGAGGGTTTGACTCCCAACCCTGAGTTCAAATCACCCAGGGATTTTTTGCCCAAAAACGTTTTGATGTTATAATTTTTGAAAGCGAAATACATAGATATTACATTATAATATGTAATAATCATATTCATTATAAATGATGCTGACAATCATGAAATATGAAATATTTGTGTGTTGTTTTTTACGACTTATGTGTCAACTTAATTATTTCGTTCGATGTATCATTTTATTTGAATGGTTTATCTCAGGGCCGTATGGAGAGGGAGTTCAGAGG